TGGGGAACTACCAGAGGACAAGAAAAGAGCTGAAGTAGTTCCCATCTTCAAAAAAAGAAAAAAAAATGGATCCAGGAAACTACAAACCTATCAGCCTGACCTCAATACCTGGGAAGATCTTGGAAAAGATAATCAAGCAACGAATCAGCAAACACCTAGAGGGAAACAAAGTCATTACCAAAAGCCAACATGGGTTTGTCAAAAACAGATCATGCCAGACAAATCTTATTGCATTCTTTGACCAGGTGACAAAATTAGTGGACCAGAAGAATGCTGTGGATATAATTTACTTGGCCTTCAGTAAGGCATTTGATAAAGTAGACCACAACCTACTACTTGATAAGATAGAAAAATGTGAGTTAGAAGCATCACCACCAGATGGATTTGTAGCTGGCTGACCGGCCGTACTCAGCATGTGGTCCTCAATGGAACCACATCTACATGGAGGGAAGTGTGTAGTGGGGTGCCCCAGGGCTCTGTTCTGGGCCCAGTGCTCTTCAACATCTTCATCAATGATTTGGATGAGAGGATAGAAGGGGAACTCATCAAATTTGCAGATGACACCAAGCTGGCAGGAATAGCCAACACTCCAGAAGGTAGGCTTAAGATACAGAAGGATCTTGACAGACTTGGGCACTATCTAACAAAATGAAATTCAATGGTGAAAAAAGTCAGGTTCTACATTTAGGCAAAAAAACCCCAAATGCACAGGTACAGTATAGGTGGTACCTTGCTCGATAGTAGCAACTGTGAGAGGGATCTTGGAGTCCTAGTGGTCAATCATTTAAATATGAGCCAGCAGTGTCCTGCAGCTGCCAAAAAAGCCAACACAGTGCTAGGCTGCATTAACAGAGGGATAGAATCAAGATCACATGAAGTATTAATACCACTTTACAATGCCTTGGTAAGGCCACACTTGGAATACTGCATCTAGTTTTGGTCACCACGATATAAAAAAGATGTTGAGACTCTAGAAAGAGTACAGAGAAGAGCAACAAAGATGATTAGGGGACTGGAGGCTAAAACATATAAGAAACGGTTGCTGGAATTGGGTATGTCTAGTCTAATGAAGAGAAGGATGAGGGGGTGACATGATAGCAGTGTTCCAATATCTCAGAGGCTGTCACAAAGAAGAGGGGGTCAAGCTATTCTCCAAAGCAGCTGAATGGCAGGACAAGAAGCAACGGATGGAAACTAACCAACGAGAGAAGCAACCTAGAACTAAGGAGAAATGTTCTGACAGTTAGAACAATTAATCAGTGGAACAACTTGCGTCCAGAAGCTGTGAATGCTCCAACACTGGAAGTTTTTAAGAAGAGACTGGACAGCCATTTGTCTGAAATGATATACAATTTCCTGCCTGAGGAAGAGGTTGGACTAGATGACCTCCAAGATCCTTTCCAACTTTTTTATTATTATTATTATTATTATTATTATTATTATTATTATTATTATTATTATTATTATTATTATTATTATTATTATTATTATTATTATTATTATTATTATTATTATTATTATCATTATCATCATCATCATTCCATCATGGGGTGATGTATGTGTTCACAGTAAATGAATAACTGCAATTGTGAATTTGAACTTGAACATACTTTCCTTAATTTAATAAGCTTTCAAAAGCTAGTGTGTTGTGATTTAAAATTGTTTTTACAACCTAAGAATAGGAAACTACACAAAATGAAATGGTAATTGAGAATCTTTCTCAACATGAAGTCCTCCTGCTACGTTGGATTTCAACTTCAAGTTGAGGAAGGCTTATGTGCACAAGATCAAGGAAAAAGAAAAAATAGAAAAAAATCTGCAGTCTGGAAAAAATAACAGTGCCCACAATAAAGTGAAATAACTCCCAAATGACAGTTTGTATGATGACATCATACAAATGCCACCATTATGTACTTCCATCTCGCTGTCTGAAATATGTATATAAATTTGTGCAATATCATAGTTATTCACCTTTTGTGATTTGTCTTTCCCCCTTTGCCCACCGCAAAGACACCCATGAACTCCTTAATTTAGAAAATGTCAATGAAATGTCATATAGGCTCAGGCAAGCTGTAATCAAATAAAAGGGATCTTTAGGTCACCAGCTGAGACATACAATTTATTTCTTTGTTTCACACAGCGACAGAGGACAAGTAACCTGCTGCAGATTTATGTAGCCAATTACTTTACTAACCTTGGTCCCACTTCCTCAACAAGACAACTCAACCATATAGTGATTATCCCCTCATTTTTAAAAATGTAACATTCCTATTATGCAAGACTTTCTAATTAGTTAATGGAAATGAATTTAAGGCCATCAGAATACATATTAATTAAGCTGCCATTTATATGGATGTTAGAATTACAATGGCATTAAAAAAACATTTCCTCCTCAATCTTGCTCTTACATGTTTGTTTCTTCACTATGTGTTTCTACAGAAATCTTTCACAGCATCTAGCATAACATAAGAACTGTGCTGAATCAAGCCAAGGACCCATTCAGTTCAGCATACAGTATCCTCACAGTGGCCCATAAATTCTGCCTAGCATTATATTCTTCTTCAGCTTTGTGTTTCAACAGCTAGTGTAAGGAGTGTTATTCCTTCATGACTGGATGTAATTTATAGGTATCATGATTAGTGCCCTTAGTTGGCTTTATTTATCACACTCATATACATTTCCAAAATAGATATTGAATATTTGAAGTCAGACAGGATTCTCTCTAATTGATATATAAACCCATATTGTATTTGAATGTAAAAACATAATCCTCAAGTACTACAAAGGTAACCCATTCAGATGACACTAAAGACTAATTTTCCTTTTGTAAAGGTCTGCATCCTTATTTTTAATGGCACAAACACTTTTATAATTAATTGATCTTTGATCTCTAGCCCTCTTAACTTTGTGGCCCACAGCAACATTTCTTATTTCTCTGCACTATCACTAGACTCTTTGAAGCCTCTGTAAATATCTCTTCCTTTTGTTCTTTGTTTATAGCAAGATGTATTTTCTCCCCCATATTACTGAAATGTGTTTGAGAAGTTCAAGTTTGCTAATATTAAACTACATGTCAACATCAAAAGAAATTCCAATTATAATGACACATAGTGTTATGAGTACTTCTGAATGTAGGAAAACAAAATAAAAATTCCTTTTTGGCCTAAATTATAGTAAGAAAGACCATGCAATAAGTTGTTAAGTACTAGAAAATGAATTGCATTGCTTGCTAGTTTTTATTAACTAGCTCTGATTCTAATACTGTAAGACTAAAGATTATGATCAAATGGTGCTACCAAGCTGTGAATTAGGTTTATTAAATTAAAACAACAGATGATTCTGTTTGACATAGCTCACATAGATATCTCAGCTGTCCTGATTTGGATTCAAATAGACACGATAGAGAGCAGAATAGGTACAGCATACCAATCACCAAATGTTGCTTTTTGAGATGAAGACTAAACAAACTGAAAGAAAAATCTAGAAATATCTGCTTCAGAAAATGTTAGATCTATTGAGCTAGCTCCTTAATTGGTTATGTATCACTTGGCAATATTACAATGACACTAAAAACATTCAGCCTGAAGCAAATGAAGAACAATGATGCTTAATTCCAACCTTGCTTTTCTAAAGATAGCCACAATGCAAACTTACAGTAAATTACAGCATGATAAATTCAGAATGACTTAGTGAGCAAACTCCAGTGTTCCCATTTGCTGGTTATATAAAGTAATAGATTTATGAACTGGGTCCAGAATATAAAAAACACCTATTAAAGATTTCCCAACAGATTTGTGACTTTTCGCTGTGTTATTAAATCTGCTTAATTTTATTCAGTTTTTCAAAGAAACAAGTTTGCCTAGATTAGTAAACATTTTAGATACTATGGTATGTGAATAGTTACATCTATGTGTTGACATTTGAATTTCTCAGGAAATAGGCTGATTACTAAGCAATACAAAGTTCATTCCTAGCTTCTCTTTGGGGGATAAACTCAAATAATTTTTTTTTTTAGACAAGTGTCAGTGCTCAGATTGTTTGTTCCCAGCATCTGCTAAATCAGGGGTCTTCAAACGTGGTCCTTTTATGACTTGGGGACTTCAACTTCCAGAATTCCTCAGCCCAGGCACACTGGCTAAGGAATTCTGGGAGCTGGTCCACAAGTCATAAAAGGGCCAAGTTTGAAGACCCCTGTGCTAAATGGTAGCAACCAAACAATAGCATCCATAGAAAACCATGATGGTGTCAATATAACAACACACACACACAATGATATCATGTCAATGACATACTGGTGTTTTTGCATCACAACATTTGACATATGAATATTGTTGCTTTGGTGCCCCATTCAGCTCATGTTTATATTTCAACATTCTTAATATTCATAATTTATATTGGTATTGTAGTTGATGCTCATGTATAATTCAATACCAGCATACTTGAACTTCTCTCAAAAACCTTTGAATAATGCAGAGAAAAAAGACAATTCCTGTAACAGAGAATAAAAAAAAGGAAATATTTATAGTTTCAAAGAGATTAGAGGGGTATAGAGAAATGCAACTAATGGACAAAACAGATGAAAGAACCAAAAGCAGGGCTTTTTTTGTCATAGAACAGCCAGAATGGAGTTCCGGCACCTTTTGGGGATGGAACCTTGTAGGGTAAGGCAAGGCGGGTTGTATGACATTTTTTTTTTTTTCAAAAAAAGCTCTGGATAAAAGTATACCACAAAAGTTTATGATGATCAAGTAAACTCTGTGGTTATTCCAAAGTCACAGAAGGGTACCAGGAGGGAAGAGAACAAGACATTCCGAGATATTAGTGCTATAGAAATATTCTAGTCTTTAAAGGTGGGCATCCATCTAAGTACTGGCAATACCTTCATCCCAATTTCACTAAAGAGCTTCTATGTCCTACAAGATCTAGACTAAGGCTTTAAAATTGATTGGCAGCACTTGTGATTACATCTTATGTCCATAATCTCAAATACTTTGTCTTACCTGAGTCCAGAGCACGTACTCAAACTTACTGCAGATTCAGAATATTCTTGTACATGGCCATGATAGAAGCAGTGATTCTAATGAGACAAGAGAAAAAAGGATCAATTCCAATATTCCATGTATAATCTTATTACAGATGTATGATATATTTTGTTCTATTATTATTATTATTGTTGTTGTTGTTGTTGTTGTTGTTGTTGTTATTATTATTATTATTATTATTATTATTATTATTATTATTATTATTAAGATCTGTCCTGAATTCCAATGACGGAGGAAATAATCACGCTGAAAGCATCTTTCTACCTAGTTCGAAACAAAGCATGAAATTTTTCAGGATTTAATGCCAGATTTATACGAACTCAAGGCAATATCTATGCTCTACCTCATTCAACAAAAGACAATGATCAAACAAGTATTTAAAGCAATTCTCCCGGACACGCCTGCTCTTTTTTATTATATTATTATTGGAAAACCATGATGGGAACAGTTTGTAAAATTAAACACCAGAGCAAATTACACTGTCATTCACCTTTAGGCGCTCACTGTAGATATAAATTTTAAATTATGCAGATCTATAAGACATAATTAAGCATACTACTGTACAATGTAATAGAACCAGTTCCTATTTTACAGCTTCACAAAGAAATTGATCATGAGAAATTAGAAGGGAGAGGAAAAAGGAAGAATATTTTATCATACTATTCTGACTTGGAAGCAGCTTGCTATTAAGAAGAGGAATGAAAAGGAATTCTATTTTCAGAAGGCCACTCCTGTTTCACTTTGCAGGTTATGGTATTTCTTTTTAAGAAATCCAGATGCTTACCAAAAGAACCATCACGGAACATACATAGTCAATATTTAAGTTGCAAATTTGCCTGGAATTCAAGTTAATGCTATTGCTAATGAAATGTAATACCTTCTCCCTGGTTATGGATCTGGTTATAAAATAATGTTTGTGTCACAAGCCGCATTTCTAGCGCCTTTGAATGCCATCTTAAAAAAAGAAACTCTCCCCCCATCCCCTTTGTGAAAGGTTATCTTATTAATGCAAAGAAAGCTATCCCTCATATTTCAGCATATAACAGTCATATCACCAATCTCTATTTCTTGGTTCATTCACATCTAAGCTGCATTAATTAACCTTTCAGTATCAGGGCATGGTTTTCAATTACATAGTCTCAGACAGCAGCCTTCTAAAGACCACCTTGATTTGGTTAGAGAAAGTAATCATGAAAAGATCACAGTCGAGTTTTAATAGTTCAGGAGTATAAATTTTTGGCAAATTTGATCACCATGTAAAGAAAATATTAGCTTAGCCCAACAACTTCATTTTAGATGAAGCCATGTAAAAAATGATATGTGTTATAGACTATATGCAGGGCATAGCTACATGAATAAAATAAAATTGGTTGTTTTGAATGTTTACTGAGTTGCCTTTATAATCTGTTCTGGTATCAGCTTAATAAAAAAATAATGTCACATAAAAGAAATTGTGTGTATCTATGTTTATGTCTTTATAGTAACAGCAGAAATATCAGGTGTAATAAAGCAATATGGAACAACAAATAAGAATAATATTCAACAAAACATACTCATTAAAAGCATTGAGTGAAAAAAGGAAGGAAAAAGAAAGCCCCACTCTTTCAACATGATTTTTGGGAAGGCTGGATAAAGAGGTAAAATTCAATAAGCCTCTAAAAGACAGAATACCACAGGGTTTCCCAAAATGGTTGGCTGGGGAATTCTGGGAATTGAAGTCCTCCCATCTTAAAGTCGTGAAAGTTGGGAAACCCTTGGATAGCAGATGCTGCCCAAATATCAGGAAACAGCATTCCAGACCTTACACTCCACTTTAGAGATATTTAATATTCACAAACAAACAATCCCCAAATAGCTTTCGGGAACTGTCATTAAAACACAACAAATTATTATTGTTGTTGTTGTTGTTGTTGTTAATGGTGGAAAGGAACTTGGAGGTCATCTAGTCCAATCCCCTGCTCAGTCAGGAAACCCTATACCATTTCAGACAAATGGCTGTCCAATCTTTTCTTAAAAACTTCCAGTGTTGGAGCATTCACAGCTTCTGGAGGAAGGTTGTTCCACTGGTTAATTGTTCTAACTGTCAGAACATTTCTCCTTAGTTCTAGGTTGCTTCTCTTGTTGGTTAGTTTCCATTCATTGTTTCTTGTCTTGCCTTCAGGTGCTTTGGAGAATAGCCTAACTCCCTCTTCTTTATGGCAACCCCTGAGATATTGGAACACTGCTATCATGTCCCCCCTCATCCTTCTCTTAATTAAACTTGACATATGCAATTCCAGCAACTGTTCCTTGTATGTTTTAGCCTCCAGTCTCCTAATCATCTTTCTTGCTCTTGTCTGTACCCTTTCTAGAGTCTCAACATCTTGTTTACATCATGGTGACCAAAACTGGATGCAATATTCCAAGTGTGGCATTGTAAAGTGGTATTAACACTTCACATGATCTTGATTCTATCCCTCTGTTAATGCAGCGTAGCATTGTGTTGGCTTTTTTGGCAGCTGCAGCACACTGCTGGCTCATTGAGCAAGGTACCTCCTATACTATACCTGTGCATTTGGTTTTTCTTGCCTATTTATTTATTTATTTATTTATTATTTACATTTATATCCCGCCCTTCTCCTTGCGGACTCAGGGCGGCTGACAATTGGATAAAATACTAACATGTTATACAAATTATACCTAATTAAAAATTTGATTAAAACGAAATATTTAAATATGTCAAATTAAAAGTAATTAAAACCCCTTTAAAATCCCTTAGGCCAGTCCCGCTAGCTGGAACAACCACGTCTTGAGGGCGCGGCGGAAGGAAGGGAGATCAGGGATCACCCTGATCTCTGGGGGCAGTTCGTTCCAGAGGGTGGGGGCTCCCACGGAGAAGGCCCTCCCCCTTGGGGTCGCCAGCCGGCACTGTCTGGCTGACGGCACCCTGAGGAGACCCACTCTGTGAGAGCGTACAGGTCGGTGGGGGGTAGTCTGTGGCAGGAGGCGGTCTCGAAGGTAACCAGGTCCGATGCCATGGAGCGCTTTAAAGATAATAGTCAACACCTTGAAGCGCACCCGGAAGGCTACCGNACCGTGCGTAAGGCGTCCCGGTCCAGAAACGGCCGCAACTGGCGGATCAGGCGAACCTGATAAAACGCTCCCCTGGTCACGGCCGACAACTGGTCATCCAATGTCAACCGCGAATCCAGGAGAACACCCAAGTTGCGGACCCGATCTGAGGGGGCCAAAGTTTCGCCCCCTATAGTCAGCGATGGAATCAGCTGACTATAGAACCTTACTTTTTTCACCACTGAATTTCATTTTGTTAGATAGTGGCCAGTGTTCAAGTCTGGCAAGATCCTTCTGTATCTTAAGCCTATCTTCTGTAGTATTGGCTATTCCTGCCAGCTTGGTGTCGTCTGCAGATTTGATGAGTTCTCCATCTATCCCCTCATCCAAATAATTGATGAAGCACTGGGCCCAGAACAGAGCCCTGGGGCACTCCACTACACACTCCCCTCCTGGTGGCATTACAGGCCTATTATGGTTATAGTGATCTGATAGATACTCTTAGCTCAAGTTTAGAATTGTATGTGATCTTGAACTGGGCTCAGTAACCAATTGTAAAACTGTATATGATCTTGAATTGGGCTCAGTTACTAACTGGCAGCTAGTGCAAAAGTGTAGAATGGCCAAGGCCAGGTACTCCATTCAGCCACTGCATTAGCTTCCAAACCAAGCACGTTAGTAGCTTCACATAGAGTGTATAGTATAATCTAAACATGCTATTATTGTGCTTAAGCTGGAATACTACAATCCTAAAAATGGCATTGTTTGTTTCCAGCGGAAGTTGGCAATATGTATTCCCAGGCAAAGAGTATACTTGAGCCTCATGTGACAACGTTGACTGTAGAAACACTCTGAAACTCTGTTCTAGTTCTTTCTGTGAGAATGCTTTCCCATTTTAGAACAGATAAACTGCTAATTCCCCAATTCAGAAATCCCCTACTCACAAAATCTCCTCCTTGACAGGATTCAGTCTTTGCTTATTAGCCCTCATCTACTCCCAACCTTATATCAGGATATATTTCAAAACATTTATGTTCCATCATGCCCACCCTGAGATTCTGTGGGCTTCATGGTAACCAGTGGTTAAAGTGACATTGAACTAATATATATTGCAGAGCACATCCCATATCAATGTCTTTAGTTTCTCTTTCCAATCAAAGTGTGGCCTTTCTTAAGTGAAGAGGTAGCTAGTAAATCCTCTCTGCAAACAGATATTATTGAGAGAAGATCCCATAGATATCCAGAAACTGAATCAGGAAGGAAATTAAAAGTGACAGATATCACTTTAAATTTCACTCAGAAGCTGAGTGTTAATTCATGGAAGAAAGTCTTTTAATCCCATTAACTATATATTATGGCTCTGAATACCAATTGCTGGGGAATGCAGCTCAAAATTTATTTTGAATTATGTCTGGGGCAGCTTTATTTTGCCAGCTGCATGTTCATTCTGAGAAAAAAAAAAGTGTTGGAAAAATGAAGTTTGTATTTCCCCCCTCACAATACTGAGAAACAATAGTGCAGGAGTCTTCAAACTTGGCCATTTTATGACTTGTGGACTTCACCTCCCAGAATTCCTCAGCCAGCTGAGGAATTCTGGGAGTTGAAGTCCACAAATCATAAAAGGGTCAGGTTCGAAGACCCCTGCAATAGTGTATTCCCCATCATTTTGTCAAGTTACATTCATAGAATGTTGTTTATTGTTTCACCTTAAAATTTGGAGCAAACTGCAGGGAAATCTCTGAAAGAACCTTTAGTGAAACCATTGATTATAATATTCAGTTTAGTTACACATTCCAAAATTGTTATATCGACAGTCCCAATATAAGACAAAAGTCGTTCTGTAACTTCATGTATTCTACATGGTTATTATGAAAAGCACTGACTTCAACAGCTCTCTCAAATATATAATTTTAATGTTGTAATGTCAGTTCAGCTTGAATTAATCAAAAGACAAATACTGTATAATAATTAAGTTTATCCCCTGTACAGTTTTAATTAAGAAACTTATTTACAGCTAGAAAAAATAACATGTCATTACAGTCTTATATTTTTATTGGAAAGATGCAAATGCTTTGTGAAGATATTTCTTAAGATTTTAATAAATATCAGGCAAAACTTGAATCCTTTTATCAACTCTTCTTCCATAGCCTCATGTATAATATATTTTCAGGGTCTGATCCTATGAAAATGAAAAAGAAAAAAACGGGCTTTCTAGCTTCTGTACTGAAGAAATCCAGGAAGTCTTTATAATCTTTTTTTTTTTTAGAGCCTCCATATCTCAAAATTTGGCTCTCATGCTGCATATTTGCAACAGTAGATGCTTTCAACTTGTATGAAACCTCTAACAGGCACATTTTCAAAGAGCAACAAGTGCACAAATCTTATATCAATTTAAAGCCCCGATATCAAGGTTCTATTGGAGCATTTCCTTCCACAGATGTCCATATTGAACAAAAGGGTGAATAAACTACAGCAGTCAAGATCTAAAACCAAGTGTAGGCTACCCACTTTATTTTCATGGTTCCCATTCTTTCCCTTTATTTATGAAATATGATACATTGACTTCCAACCACAGGAATTCACAAAGCTTACCGTGTAATTACGTGTGACAATTGTGCTAGTACCATCTTCCAAATAATGCATTTCTGTGATGTTGCCAGCAAAGAGACCACTGGGGGAAAAATTAAAAGGAAATCTTAGACAACATTTCTGCACCAAATAATTTTGATTTAATTTACTCTTTTCAAAAATAAATGGAAATAAGAGGAAGTTCAATTACGGAACACAATAGATAAAACATTTGGACAATGTCTGTAAACAAAGAAAAGGACATTTCCACAGTCAGTCTTTCTTCCTGAATATTAACAAGTGTTCAAGCAAAAATAAAACAATACTTTTGATACAATAATTTATGCTAATTCCAAATGCAGATCTTTTTTTAAAGCAATATATTTCCTTCATACTTTATCTTCCCATAATCAGATACTTCAAAACAATTGCTTTGAACTGTTACAGAAAAAAAGTTGATTATACAGCATGTAAAATTAGTTCAAATATAAATTATCTGGAATTGTCTCAAAGGACTTACAAGAGACATTTTACACTCTGTCTTTTTTTCCCCTTCTGTTCAATTATATGCAATTCCTAATTGGGCAACTCTGTGAAATTTTATTGGCAAAGCTTTACAAAGTGGTTTGCCATTGTTTTCTTCCTAGAACTGAGAGAAAGTGAGTGGCCTAAGATCCCCCAGCTGACTTTGTACCTAAGGCGGGACTAGAACTCACAGTCTCCTGGTTTCTTGTATGATGCCTTAACCACTACACCAAACTGGCTCTCTTAATAATCTGTACTTCATATTTTAAAACATTCTACTGGAAGATGATGTATGGATTTTATAGCACATATATAGTTCTTTCTTAAAGAATCACTAAAGTAAGATTTGGTTATAATGTTGGAGTATTGGGTACAGAAAGGGGGAGCCTGAAGCCTTAGTGAATTTATAACATTTGTACCATTCAAGAATCATGCTGTGAAGTGAAAATGTTATTGTTCCACCCATCTCTTTCTAATGTGTTTTGTTCACATAGCCTTTATGGTGCTAATAGTGAAGTCTAGAATGCCCTGTGAATTTCTTTGTCAAATGAATGAAGCTCCTCCCAAACCCGATCTTACATGGAATGTTGAGATGAAAAGTTCTGCCAACATGTCATCTTTCAAGTACTCTTTATAGCCTGTTCCCTGATTTATCATATAGTTCTGGAGAAAGAAAAGAATAGGGAATGACTCAAGAGGGAACAGTCCTAGATACTTATGTCCAAAGATCAGATACCTTTTTTTATTAATCTGGCTTTTTATGCATAAAAAAGAGTCTTGATCTTTGGTTTTAGTTTTTGAGATTTAGATCTAAATGTATTGCAAACAGAATGTTCTGGAAGAGATTAGATTAGAAAGATTCACTATGGCTGTGTAATAGCTTACTATGTCATGGTTTCTTTGAATAAAGTATCCATTTATCCAACCAGATCATTCAACTCATGCTAATGTTTCCCTCAAGAGACACCAAGAAAAAGTTTTAGTATTTAGTCCTTGGGAAACATATCCCAAAAGCAAGCACCTGGATAATTTGGCTTATGAACAGTCACGGGTATGAGTAAACCAGGAAAATGACTCTCAGAGCTGTTGGTGCAATCCTGATAATGTCATGGATTTTTCATTTTTAGCATGTATTTAATGCTAAAGTAATCCCTATTTATTTCAAACTTCTTTCTCTCCTCCTCCCCACTTTTTATGGCAGGATCTCTGGAATTGGCTAAAATCATTTCTACTATTGTTTTCTTTGTTTTGGACTTTTGGCAACCTTTAACCAAATTGCTGACAACACTTGCAAGCCAGAGGCTTTGCTGTTTCTACCATGATTATTCCAGAAAGCGACCGGCAGCTTAAGTTTTTAAAATTTATTTTGTATGAAGTAATTACTTCCACTTTAGAACTGCCTATTAATTCTCCCAAGAAAAATAATTAGAATATCTCTTATTTTCTAATTGCCCAAAGAACTTATGTGAACACTTCGGGTAATATTTATTTCTATGTGGGTTTTTTTGTCTGTGTGGGGGGAATGGGGTGTAGTAGCAAAGGTACTGGCATAGAAAACAGAAGAATCTGAGTTCTAGACCTCCCCTAGGCTTGAAAACTGACAGGGGAAAATATTTTTCTGGAAGAAATAGGAGGCTGGAATATTAGATATGTCAGCCACCTTAAGTTTACTAAACATATAGACAGGATAAAAATCTAATAATAATAATAATAATAATAATAATAATAACAACAACAACAACTCTTGCATGAATGGCTAGCAGTAGATTCAAGAGAACAACTACTCCAAAGTATAATTCTGAATTCAAATCACTCTTAAGCAAAACATGGGACATAAATATAAAAAAATACTGATTAGTCTGTCATTGCAAAAATAGGAAAAAGACTCAACTACGATTCCTTCATTGCATCCTCATGAAGCCAATCAAAATAATGTTTTAACAGTGAAAAAGTTATTACATCTAAATTATGTGAGAAATATTTTGAAACACTCAAAGGTTTGATGTGACAAGTTGGTTAAGTATTTATGCAGTAAAAGGAATTATATATCCTTCAATCTAGACATTAATATTCTACAGTTTCAATGGAGTGTCCAGTGATCTGGTTTTATTTTGATTATTTCTGCTATAAGACAGATAAAATACTTACAGAACTATGCTAAATCACTTGTGTGCTCCCTTTGCTGGGTATTGATTGGACAGCTCCAAGACTTTATTAGTGCCATATTAAAAGAGGAAAGAACAAGGCTTCTTTGAAGCAATAACTGTGACCGCATTCCATCTCGCTGAAACAAAAACTGCATAAACTATTGCCCAATTCTCAAATATCTCATTTTTGCCAAGCAGTGGTATAGTTGCTCCTAGTGAAGATATTTAGAACTGATTAAATCAGGCTTAGACTAAGGAATTGAATGATAAATCTTTTTGATAATCCTTTTGGACCCCAGATTTGAAAGAGAAAGCCAAATGAAAACCCTGATTATTTATCTGTATCTTTTAGTAGATTTTGATATCAATGGTCATGGAATCTTAACTAATCTGCTTTCTGGGTTGGGCAATACAGCTTCACCCTGCAGACTCAATTTGCCTAAACCAGAGGTGTCAAACTGCCGGCCCACGGGCCAGACACGTCACGAGGAAACCGCGCCCACCCCATTGCCGGCAATGGGGAAAAAGCTCCGATACGTCCGCGCCGTCACATGACATCGCGAGTTTGACATGTCTGGCCTAAACGTTCCTTAGAAGTTCAGTTGCAAAAGGTAGTATAGAGAAACTTCTGTGGCTCTCTCGATTCTTAAATTACTTTGATGTTGCATCCTCCCTCCATCCCTTATAATATCTATATAAATCTGCTAGAAAAAAGTCATATAAACATTTGGAATTAAGGAATTAAGTATCAAGCATACAATGAGGATTTCTAATTCTCTTTTAACTGTTATCAGAATCAAGTGAAGCTATAGAAATGCTGAAGCTCTGGATTCAGTAATGAAATTGAACTGGGCCAATAACTGAAGCTGGAATCTATTAAGACAAATGGTTCCAATATTCCCCCTATGAAAACATTATTCAACTTTTGTAGAAAAGAAGCATAATCTGGAGCAACCTTTTGATCTAACACTACCACCAGAGAACAAACTGATCATAGTAGCCTAGAGTACTCATTGCTTTTTTTGTAAAAAAAAAAAAAAAAAAAAAAGGTGCCGGAACTCACACACGTTATACAACCCGCCTTGCCTACCCTACAAGGTTCCATCCAAAAAAGGTGCCGGAACTCCGTTTTGGGTGTTCTATGACAAAAAAAGCCCTGAGATACTCAATTTTCTTTTAAAATATTCAGCCCTTTCTAGACTGTGAGAACTTGGCTATGAATATCTATATTCTGGAAATTTTACACGGGAGTCCTGGGATGTGACATGATGGGATTCCTCAAAAAAATTAGGAATTTAGAATTTAGAAGTTCAAATTATTCAGAATACAAGGGTTGTCATTAGGTTATTACCTAATGTATGCTGTATACACCTCTGGGTCTCAGGTCACTTACCTAATTCATAGGTAAGTGACCTGAGACCCAGAGATATATACAGCTCACAAACTCCTCCCCCCCACATCCCTAGAGGAACCTTTATTCAAAACTGCCAAAATAACTAAGCAAAAGCCCTAACTGATTTTATGAAACAATTGTAAAATCATAGGAATGGGAGCAACTGGTGAAAATACAAAGATGTGAAAAGGTCTTCCTTTTAAAAAATGTTATTTCTTTTTAATTAATATAAAAGAAAAAAATAAACAAAAAGCCAAATATAAAAGTAATGATATTTTTTATTATTTTTATGAAAAGGCCTTCTTGGCCCCAATGCTGCGTGCTCATTGACCAACAGTCATAAGTCATACATCCAGGAGGACCCTCAGATGGTGCACAGGATCTTTTTGGGGTAGTGCAACCCCATCCAGCATCAGAGATGGTTAAGTCCTAGAAGAAGAGGGCCCCAAAACCCCAAGTCATTCAGTCTTGCCAAGGTTCAGCTGAAGCCTCTTGTTTCCCATCCATTCATTAATAGTCTAAGAGCTAACTATTACATATATAGTCAAAGTTCAATGTAGATTAAAACTGAATTCATAAAACTGAATGTCAGCAACAGTAAAATAAACTTTCTACATTACAAAAGTAATATTTCTACTTTATGCTATATATCACTATGTACCAGCAACAATCAAATTATTTGAAGCCAAGCCAATAAGTCAGCTGGATGACTTTGGACCAGTCATTCTCTCTCAGCCCAACTCACCTCACAGAATTGTTGTTGTGGGGGAAAAAGGAGGAGGAGGAGGCCAGAATGTATGTGACTGTACTCAACTACTGACTCACTCTGTTCCTCTCGGCCTTGCCCCATTAACTTGAGGGATGACTTTCAGTCCACATGGAAAATGGCAGTGACAATTAAAGTCTCACCCTTGGGCTTCTGTCCACTCACCAAATAATCAGGCCAAAGCACGCATTAAACAGCAAGTAGCAAACACAGAGCACCAATGGGTTCTAACCAGGTTCCCAAACGTTATTGTTAACAAATCCTGTATCTAT